CAATTTGCCCCCCCCCCCAAGATGCCAGCCTGTGGCAAGTGCAGCCAGTCTGATGGCTGAGTGCTGTGATGTGCCCAGTGTGGACACTCAGGACACTCCAAGCCAGAACTGCGTTGCAAGCGGGGACCCCTGAGAACTGTCTGTCCGGGGTGGGGGTCGGGTCCCTTTAAGCACAGCCCTCGGCTAACCTGAGGCAGCAGCTCCACGCTCTAAGTCCTCATCTGATGCCCTGCCGGCACTGCGTCCGGCCATCCTTAACCCCGGTTCAGGGTCCACTTAATATGGACATGCTAGTTCGAATTAGCAAAACGCTAATTCGAACTAGTTTTTGAGTCTGGATCCGTTAGTTCGAATTAGCTTAGTTCGAATTAACTAATTCGAACTAAGTTAGTTCGAATTAGCGCTGTAGTGTAGACATACCCCTAGATAACTATTAGACATTATCATTAAGGTGCTGCAGCCCCAGCTGACTTTTGGCCCTTCTGCAGGCCCTTTGGCCCTCTTCTCCAGAGCTCCTCCCAGGAAGTCACAAGAGCAGCTGAAGCAAATCAGAAAGGGTGTGGGTATGAGAAGGAAAACTAGTTGTGCTGGTGGACCATGCAGAGTAAGAGAGATGCAGAATGGCTTAGCATCATGGTAGTAAATGGAGCTACACAACGTATGCCTCCTGGCCCAAGATGTGTCTACAGGTCTCTGCATTTCCCTCCCATCATGGATGGAATGCAGAGTTAAAGATATCCCTGGGGATCCATGTCTTTCAAGTTAGTACAGGCCTGGGCTGCTAAAATCAGGGTGGGGAAAGATTCAGAAGACTGGGCTACCATATAGCACTGCCACAATATTGTCACTTTCTGAGGATCTGTTCTCCACTAACCTACTCCATGCTCAGACAGTGGAGGAGGAGGACTAAGAAAGGCAACTTAGGTGGGTAAAGACTCAGGACTGCCCTTTAATTTAGGAAGATTTTACAACCAAAGAGTCAGGCTCAGCTCCTAACAGAGAATGAAGCAGGCGGGTGACTCCTCTATCACAGTGGGGCAGTGTAAATCTGAACAGTGGAGCTGAACATGAAGGGGTTATGTTACAGCAGCCTAGCACCTGGTACGGTCACCTGCAGAAATACATCATTACTATTGCTCTTAGTAGCAAATATAGTCTCCTTTGTCCTTCTGTTCCTTGCATCAGTGCATCAGCAAAAAGAAAAAAATAGCACTCCTGCTCTAAAAATAGCCCAGCGTGAAGGTCTCAGTCCTCGTGATCTCCTATTCTCTGAGGAGCAGCAACAGAGGAAAGGTTTGTATTCCGACATTACTATAAGATGAAGAAGGAAAAAAAGAGAAGCAGCCAACCACTAGGCTACGTCTAGACTGGCCCCTTCTCTGGAAGAGGCATGCTAATTTCTAACTTTGGAATAGGGAAAGCCGCGGGGGATTTAAATATCCCCCGCGGGATTTAAATAAACATGGCCGCCGCTTTTTTCCCGGCTTGGGGAAAAGCCGGAAAAAAGCGTCTAGACTGGCGCGATCCTCCGGAATAAAACCCTTTTCTGGAGGATCTCTTATTCCTACCTGGGGCAGCAGGACAAATGCTACATTACATGACCAAATGACCAGACAGTGCTAAGCTATTATCATGGAGATATAGTGGGGTTTTATAAATGAATGTGGATTATACTTTATATGGTCCAAAGGGAAAACCTGTAAATCTACGATGCACCCCATATTATTCACAGTAACATTATTATGACATGATAGTAACTTTTTATGCAAGATGGGTCATGTAAGATATCACTGGGAAAAGTTCTGATAAAGTACAAGTTCACTTACTATTGGACTCTAATGACTTAGGATCAGACCTGCCTACTGAGAACATACAGAATGTTATGGAGTAGGGGGCAACACAGCAGCCATTCTTGCCTTGAGTTTTAGCTGCAGGAAACCCAGATGACATATTTGAAAGCAAAAAGAGGGAAATGTTTTTCCAGTGTAGATACAGGATCCCAAGGCCCAAAGCACAGTAAAAGCTGTTTACTAGTGGACAGCAATGAAAGCTTTCAACCAGACCCTAGGGCCCACAAAACTCTTGCCCATGTGCATGATCCAGAAGGTGACTGAAATCCAGTGATGCAATAGAGTCAAAATAAAGCCAGTAAGCAAAAACCTATAGCCATGACATCTGAATCAAGCAGAGCAGGACAGAGAATACGAAGGCAGAGTGCAGGCTAGTCTGGTATTCTGTCCAAAGCATTCACGGGCCAGTTTTCTCCAGCCTCCATCGTCGCAGTATGTCGTCTGCTGCCTTCAGCGTAGCTTCCTCCTGAGCACACACAGACTGTCAGGCCTACCAGGCTCCATGCTCACACCCTCCCTCTCCATAATAAACTATAGTTATGTAAGATGTATAAGCTTGGTTCATCTGAAGGATCACAAATGCTGTGTATACAGCATCACTGAAAGGCAGCCACGTCTGGGACAGCAGGCAATCAGTGTACATCAATCTTTGCAGTAATAGAGGATGAGACACATTTTGGCCAGATGCACTGGGGTGAAGCGCTATTCTTATCCAAAGTGCACTGGAATCTTTAGTGGCCATGAATGGGCGGAACCTGGATTAGGATCTCATATGAAAGACACTCACATAGCCTTCATTTTATTTACCTCTGAAAGCTGAAAAGTTGAGTCAGTTCTTGACAGACTTTGAACCTGTGGTCCCAGGTTATTGTCTGGTATTTTAGGCCCCATCTCTTAGCTGCTTATCCCTTCCAGCATATACCCTCATTTACAGCAGGAGCCCTGATCACTACCTGAACTCCCTCCCCTTCTTTCATGTTGCCCAGATGCCTCACCTTCACAAAGCAGAAGCGGATGAGATGGTCAAAATTCCTCTTGTGTGGAGTACCGTAGAAAGCGGAGACTGGAATGGCAACTAAACCCTGTGCAGCGGAAGTGGGGGGGGGGGAGAAGGAGAGTACACCCAAATTTACTCTTTTCTCTCACACACACTGATCAGAAAAAGACACGCATTCATTACTCATGGACACCTCAGGTTACTGAGCCGATCAAACCACTCTTCCAGCTACTTGCTTTTCAAAATCAGAGTTAACCATCTCAACAGAAGCTTGCTGCCTGACAAACTAGCTGTTATCCCCCCTCACCCTACCAAACGGTTGGCCTGGTCTCTGGTGTCAGGATGCTTTCAGAGCCAACTAGTAAGGGCAGGGAGTGACAGTGGCAGCAGAGTATAACAAGGTGTCATTTGATTCAGAAGAACATTATAGATGGGGATTTGAACCCTGACTTCTGAAGAAATATGGTGGAGAAAGGGGATATAACCAGATGGCTAATCTAGGGGATGCCAATCACTGAGCTCTTTTGGTGTGTGACAGTGCACTAGAAGGAGGATTAAAAGATCATGTACTCAACTGTGTGGGGCATTAGCAAGCCTCAAGTAACAGGCCCAATGACCTTAAGTCAATGCTCCATTATTAAAAAAATCGAACTGCAGCAAGGAGAATGGGGGACCGTCCCAGAAAACAAGCCTGCTGGAGAGAGACTGGGGCATTTACCTTGTTTTTAATCATCCACTTTATGAACCGAGAGTCATAGGGTTCCTCAGAGTCAGGGAGATCAGGTACTTCACTTTCTGCAAGACACACACAGCAGCATGGGCAAGAGGAATGATGGAACTAATGAGACAGAGGATTTCCCAACTGAGCCAGGTACCCCATCGAGCTAGATGTCATAGTGGACAAACACACTAGAATGTTCCCTGTACTAGGGACTTGGGTTTGAACTCTGGTGCAGGTCATATGTGAAAACACATATGGCCAGTTCATGCTTATCAGTTAAGCACAGTTGCCAGGCTCTGTTCATGGGAATCCCAAGGCCAGGAAAGATCCTCGTGCACGGGTGGTCATGAGTCACAAGGGAGTTTTACTGGTGTTGGAGACGTGGCACATAGCACGGCTTGTGACCAACTGGGTTAACATTGCTATTAAGCAACAAATTCCCCAGTGGCACCTGTCGATGTCTCTCTTTCCCCTTCCCTTCTCAAAGTGAAGAAAATGGATCAGGCTTTATCTTATTCTAGTCTCCATCACACCTGATCCCAAGCTATGAGCACCGTCCCTTTAATGTGAAGAGCAGAAGCAGATAAAACAGTCACATGAACTCACTGAGCTCTGAGTAGTCTGCCATCATGAAGTAGGTGCCTTCAGGAATGATGGGCTTCATGCCCCCAGCAATTAGGCTCTGAACAAGCCAGTCCCGCTTCTGCTGCATCTCCTGAGCCAACTGCACAAAATAACTGTCTGGTTTCCCATAATGGTCAAGCTCTCTTTGGAATGCCTGAGCCACTGCTTCCTGGAGAGATGAGTGAGGAGAGGGATGATGGAGAGAGGGGCTCAGACCTAGGTAGAAAGCATGCCCTGTGCATGCTGAGGTTTACTTACAAATTCTAGAGGCAGACAATGAACTGGGGTTTTCACTTCTGTTCAGATGTGTGGGAGTTTAGGGGCAGCTTAAGACAACAGCAGGCCTAGATCAATACAAGCGTATCTCTTCTAAATGAAAGTATCAAATATTGTACTTATACAACAGAGCACCATTGCCATGTCAGAAGCTATTTATTTCACGTTATTTATTTCACGTTCAGCCTGTACTTGCAATATTAAGATTGTGTATTTATTGTAGCCTATTACTGTTAAAGTAATAGTAAAACCCTGATTTTCAAACACCTGATTGCTAATGTTAACAAATACTACCTAACATATACATTCCTTTCCATGCTAATTGCAATACTGTTCAATAATAATAGAAATTCATACTTTCTCTTTAATATTTTAAATAGTTTTATGCAGCCATTGAAATAATAAAATAAACTAATTTACCAGATTTATGCATCGCATGTGAAGTAACTCACCAGGAAACATTTCAATAGGTAGAGCGGTACATGCTCTATTGTCCCATGGAATCACAGTTTCATTATTTTTCTCTTTCCATGCATTATTTACTCCACATTTAATCCTTCTTTCTAATCATTTTGATTATTTTATCTTTTAGCTTAACATCCATTGTATTCTACTTTACTATCATTGTTCTGTGTTTTGATAATTTAGTTGAAACAGTTGCTTAAAATTTTTCAGAAAATTAACACCACGGCAGATAAAAAGAAAACGTCTGGAACGTAGCATTGTAAAAGGAAAGCTGAGCAGATTAAAGAACAAGCAAAGTCAAAAGGATCCTTTCCTGTGTTAGGATTAATGAAAAGTAGAAAAAAAATAAAAACCGTTATTTTTATATTTACATTGTTAATTATGAATGTCAGAAAAATAAAGGTAAAATTTCACTCCAGACGTCTCATTTATCTCTATATTGAATGCAGGGGAGATACCAGAGTCACAGTTTGCCTAAGGAGACAAAAATCCTTGTGCCAGCTCTGCCAATGGCTTTTCATTTGCCATTTCCTAGCCACAGACAGGGGGCTTGAGAAAGGAATTCCTTCAATGGCATATCTGGGCACTGGTCTGAGCAAGCTTGCTGGCCCCACACCTTGTTGGGGAAGTTGCATCTTAACTGGATGGTGTGTCTCAGGGGGCTCTTACCTCTAGGCTCTGTACTGTTGTGGTCTTAGGACACAATTACCTAATCTCTCCTCAGACGGGCTCTAGGGTTTGCATCAGACATCTGACATGAGGCAATCCCTCTCCAGGTGTTCAGCCCCTTACCTGAGCTGCTGTTGGACAGTGATACACAGCGTTCTGGTGGACAGTTCTGAGGTGTTTCAAAAGGTGATCGGGCCCCAAAGTCCAGCCAACCTATTACAACATAGAGGGATGTTTCAGATTCTCAGCTATTTTACACCTGCTCCACTTTATTTCCATACTGATACCTTCCACTGTGTTCTGCACAAGACAAATTCAGGGATGTTTCAGATTATCAGCTATTTTACACCTGCTTCACTTTATTTCCATACTGACACCTTCCACTGTGTTCTGCACAAGACAAAGTCAATTTGCAAAGTCTCCTGTTACCTTCAAAAGCTCTGATTTAAAGCGGAGAGATTTCCTCAGGCTATGCTAAATCTTAGTTGGACAGGAAGTCCAACAATCAGAGAAATGTCATGGAATAGGAAAGATTGGTTTAATTTCAAGCGGACTGGGCCTTAGCCAAAGTCCCCCATTAGAACAACTGAATCAAGGGGCAGAAAATTTTTTGAACATAAAAATAGCTATACTGGGTCAGACCAAAGGTCCATCTAGCCCAGTATCCTGTCTTATAGAAACAGGGCTCCCTCCCCTGTCATACATTCCCAGCTTCTGACAAACAGACGAGGGACACCACTCCTACACATCTTGCCTAATAAGATTTGATGGACATATTGATGGAGCTATCCTCCATGAATTTATCTAGTTCTTTTATGTGGGAGATATTCCCCTGCCACTCCAGAATCAATCACCTTCCATCCTGTAGTGCTGAAGGTTTTGCCAGCACTCCCAATGGTTATCGTGCGATCCCACATGCCCGGCAAGCTGGCTGCCAATGAAACAAAAGAGAAAAACAGCTGGAAGATCTCATAGCAAACAATACTATTTGTCCTTGTACTGTATTAACACTATGGTACCTTTGTGCCCAGTTCACACACCCATCTTGTATTTATTAAGTTGCTTTCATTCAAGTGGACCTCAAAACACTTACAAGCAGACAGCTGTGTTCTCACAAGGTGTTGCTTTCAATTTATAATGATAGGTACTTTAGTTTTGAGTAGGGTTACCAGGTAACTTCAGAAAAAATACCAGACACACTTGATGGGGTGGTGGGAGTGGGGAGAGAATCAGCCGTCGGGGAGCGGGACTGACCCGGACACATGCAGATCCCAGGCGCTGGGACTTTTCAGTTTGGAAAAGAGGAGACTGAGGGGGGATATGATAGAGGTATATAAAATCACGAGTGGTGTGGAGAGTGCGAATAAAGAAAAATTATTTATTAGTTCCCATAATAGAAGAACTAGAGGACACCAAATGAAGTTAATAGGTAGCAGGTTTAAAACTAATAAAAGAAAGTTCTTCCATGGATAGTTCTCTGAAAATGTCCACGCAGTGTGCAGCAGCAGTCAAAAAAGCCAATAGGATGCTAGGAGTTATTAAAAACGGGATAGAAAATAAGACTATATAAAACTATAGTATGCCCACATCTTGAATATTGTATGCAGATGTGGTCTCCTCACCTCAAAAAAGATATATGGGCATTAGAAAAGGTTCAGAAAAGAGCAACTAAAATGATTAGGGGTTTGGAATAGGTTCCATATGAGGAGAGGCTAAAGAGACTGAGACTTTTCAGTTTAGAAAAGAGGAGATTGAGGGGGATATGATAGAAGTATATAAAATTATGAGTGGTGTGGAGAGGGTAAATAAATAAAATGTATTTACTTATTCCCATAATATAAAAACTAGAGAACACCAAATGAAATTAATGGGGAGCAGGATTAAAACTAATAAAAGAAAGTTTGTCTTCATACAGTGCACCGTCAGCTGTGGAACTCCTTGCCAGAGGAGGCTGTGAAGGCTAGGACTATAACAGAGTTTAAAAAAGAGCTAGATACATTCATGGAGGTTCGGTCCATAAAAGGATATTAGCCAGGGGGTAAAGAATGGTTTGTCAAAAGCTGGAGAAGGATGGCAGGAGACAAATTGCTTAATCATTGTCTTCGGTCCACCCTCTCTAGGGCACCTGGTGCTGGCCACTGTCAGCAGACAGGATACTGGGCTAGATGGACCTTTGGTCTGACCCAGTACGGCCTTTCTTATGTTCTTATGTTCTTAAGAAATTCCACTGGCGTCAAACAGCTGAGAGAAGAATTGAGGTGCACTGGCAGGGCTGACCTTAGGCCGATTCGCCCAATTCCCGTGAAACAGGAGAGAGGCATAGTGGCAGGGCCGTTAAGAACCTCACTTGAGTACTCCGACCGTTTGTACACATATGTTATGGGGACAAAGCAAGTGACATAAATGGGATTGCTCATGGTCTCCCAATGCTTCTCTGTGCTTCCCCAGGACAGAGCTGTGGACTCACAGGGCACCCACAGGCCTGCACAGACAAGCCAGGCATCTTACCAATCCGGATGTGCTCCTTCCCATCGTAGACCAGCCACTCGTACACTTCATCGCTGAAGCACAGGACATCATGTTTCACACACAGGTCTGCGATGAACTCCATCTCCTCTCTGCGGAACACCTATGCCAGGCAGGCAGAGCAGAAGGGGCTGTCAGGCACAGCATTCCTCAGCTCCACAACCCACAGTGAGCTCTGAGGCTCAGCCCTTGTGGGCCCAGCATCTCAGCCAGATGTCGGCCTGCTCCAGGGAGAGGGCATCAAGTGAGAATGCCGGGATCTTCGCCAATAGGGGTGCCATTCTCCCCATCCTTCTTACAGCAGCCGCAGCCTCCACCCTGATTCAGGGACCAGGCTCTCCTCAGGGCACTTCCTCCCCCTCTAATTACCCAAGTAAAGTTACTCCTGCTGGCAACAGGCTGAGATGCTCCCTCCCAGCCCCATACTACAGACTGATCTCTCTGTGCAGTAAGGATAATGTGTGGATGCTTGGTCTCTTGACTGAGGGGATTTAAAAGCTATTCCTCTCTTCGAATTAACTTTGATAGGCGCTACACTAATGAAGAACTAGCGGAGCGCTTAATTCGAACTAGGTAAACCTCATTCCACGAGGACTAACGCCTAGTTCGAATTAACAAGTTCGAATTAAGGGCTGTGTAGCCACTTAATCCGAACTAGTGGGAGGCTAGCCCTCCCCCGCTTTCCCTGGTGGCCACTCTGGGCACCACCAGGGAAACTCGTCTGCCCCCCTCCCGGCCCCGGAGCCCTTAAAGGGGCACAGGCTGGCTATGGTGCCTGTGCCAGGTGCAAGCCTGCCAGCACCCAGCCAGCAGACCCTGCACCTGGCACGGTACGAGCCAACCCCCCGCTGCCACCCAGCCCTCCGCCTCTTCCCGGGACCAGGCTGGCGGCTCCCAGGAGCCTGCCCGGGTCCGCAAGAGTCGGGCACCCGCCTGGTCTAGTGCAGACATCGTGGACCTCATCCACAACCTCCGCACTAGGCACAGGAAAGTGGCTGTCTTTAAAACGCTAATTCGAACTAGTTTTTAGGTCTAGATGCACTAGTTCGAATTAGCTTAGTTCGAATTAACTAATTTGAATTAAGTTAGTTTGAATTAGTGCTGCAGTGTAGACATACCCTTCCTCCCTCCTGGTCCTGCATTCCATGAGATGTAACTATTCATTTGAACTAAGGACTTAGTTTGAATTAACTTTTAACTGCCGTGTGTAGCCACAGACAGTTAGTTCGGACTAAGGAGATTTAAAAATGGCGCCCGCCCAGGAACATACAAATGAAGCCCGGGATATTTAAATCCTGGGCTTCATTTGCAAGTTCGAATGCCTACATTAGCCTCCCTAGTTTGAACTAGGGGGCTAGTGTAGATATACCCTAGGTTTTTTCATTTTCTTCCTGTTTTCAGGGTCCCTGCAGAAGGAAGGGGGAGCTCTCCCAGCTGGTAGAGGCCCTACCTTCCCCAGGGGGTTGTTGGGTGAGTTCAGAACGATGGCTTTGGTTCGCTTGGTAAATCTGGAAGCCAGCTCTGCTGGGTCCAGCTGCCAATCTCCACTGGACATCAATTTACCAGCTCCTGCAGCTTTCTGGAGAGGACAGTGAGGGAATCATGATTAAAATCAACAAATGATGGGGGATATGGGGGTCTTTCCCCTTGTTCTGACTCTTAACATTAATACATTGCCCATCTCCAGCCCACTTCTTCTGAGCATCTCAAAGCACTTTGTAAATACTAATGCAGTGGTTCCCAACCTTTTTTATGCCACAGATCGGCAAACCCATTCACAAACGTTTAGCGGACCAGTAACATTGTATTTGTCTATTTGCATATTCATTATCCAAATAACGAACAGGCAAATATTCACATAAAATGTTACTGGCCTGCCTAGCCCCAAACCACCCCCTTGCTCCCCAGTGCTTAACACTCTTTGACCCCCCCACTCCTACACCCCATGCCCTTCGACCCTTTAACCTCTGACCCTCACAGCCCATGCCAACACCCTCTTGCCCCGTGACCCCACCATGCCCTCACCCATTACCCCTTTACTCCCACCCTACCCTCGCACTCTTCTGAGCAAGGCTCCTCTAGGGAGCGTGGCCATTACTGCTGTGTGGGCAGGGAGAGCGGCCCTCCTCCTTCACAGCTCCTTCCCCCTCAAGCGCATCTTGTGTCCCCATGGGTAGAAGGCGGGAGTGTGAAGCCCCAGCAGGGCCGCCATGACGGGGGGAGAAGAAGGGAGGGCCCGCCACTTCAGCCCGGGCCCTGCCACTGGCAAAAGCTGCCCCGCAGGGGGACGGAGGAGAGAAAGGGAGCCCTGGGGAAGCACCTCCTGCTCCGCTTCCTCCTCCTGCTGCCACTGACAAAAGCGGCCGCGTGGGCAGGGGGAGGGGCCGTTGGAGGCGCCCATGCCTCCCCACTTCTTCACGCCCCCTCCCTCAACCAATCATGTCTCCCCAAGTGCAGAGTGGGGAGGAGGGAGGAGGCACCTCCTGCTGCCACCTGCTGAGCCACTATGGCTGCCAGAGGTGAGCCAACAGAACGGCCGGCTTGAGCTCCAACAACCGTTGCGGCCTGGCAGCCAGTGGTACTGGCCCGGTGGTTGGGAACTGCTGTACTAATGGATTAAGCCACCTCAGAAAACCTCTGGTGAGACAGATGGGTGTCATTACCCTGACTACAAATGAGGCACAAAGAGATGTGTGACTTGCCCTAAGTAACACAGCAAGTCAGTGTAACAGAGAAGAATAGGCCCGGAGCCCTGCCTCACTTCTAATCCTGGGCCCCAACCTTCAGTCCATCCTCTCTCCCTCTCAGATTTAGAATAATAGAGATTGGGCCGTCATGAGAGGGTGGTGAGAAATCCACCATCCTCTCTCCAGCTAGGTCAGCTTGTCCATACAGTTCCCCAGTGCTCGGGGCTTTCTGTCAGGGACCTGGGGAAGCTTTGAGATCCAGGTAATATTCAGGATCAATCTGATGCACAAAGCAAGAGGTTTCTTGAGATCTGCTCTTTTAGGGACTCTCTCAATTTACTTCAAGTTCTTCCACTCGCAGACTGATATATCTGCATCCACGGCAGCAAGACCAGAGAGGATGGAAACTCCCCCTGCCAGGACCCTCCACCCCTGCCATGAGACCACTATGGAGAGGAACAAATTATTTGGTTCCCTATTTCCAGCAAGGTGGGGCACCACAAATTGTGAAACTGGTCCTGATGAAAGTCCAGGCCTTACTGAACCTGATCTGGGCTCAGCAGGCCAGTTCAGAGCCCAACTCAACACTCTTACCATCAGGTTTCATTCAGGATGCACTGTAAAGCTGCCTCTCACCCTTGCATGCCATTTCTATTCTGAGGGCTTGGAGGGAAAGACAGCAGCAGGCTTGTTAAAGCCCCAGGGTGGCTTTGCTTTGATGCCCACTTACCGGTCGCAGCTGTACGAACACAGGGGTGCCCCCGGCCATCTTCGCCATTGGCTCATAGCAGTCAAAGTAGGGCTCAATGAGAATCACCTGGGAAGGCACCAGAGGGAGTGTCAGAGTCTTCACTGTCCTTCTTTCCCCAGTGCTGATGGATGCAGGGAGATGGGGGGGACGGGAGATTTTGCTCCCAACTGCAGCTTGCAAGGTCATTACTTTATGATCAGGCTCTGAGACCCCAGAGTGGCTGGGTACCAGAAAGAAGAACAAATGGAGCAGGAGCAAAGTTGCCACTCGTGGAAATGAGAGTGCTGGGGAGTGCCCACTGGCAGACCTGGCCTCTAGTGGGCCAGTGTAACAGCTGTGGGCTGAAGCGAACAAGGATCTGCAGAAGCCTCGGTTTGGGTGTCCTGCTACAGAGGGAAGGTTTGGACTAGAATCCCAAGCAGCCCCACACAAACAGAGACAGATGGGCAGCCCTTCATAAGGAGATATATGGCGGAGGGGGCCATAAACAGGCAAGAGCCTCCAGCTTCATTCAGTTTACACAATATGGTGGAGCCAGAACAAGCACATCTGCTAGGAGTGAGCTGTGCAGTTGAAGGACAGTCCTTGGTTACCTCATCGCCTTCGTCAACCAGAGCCTGGAAACAGCAGAAAAGGGCTTCGTATGCCCCGACTGTTACCAGCACGTTGGTCAGAGGGTCAAGTTCTTGCCCTAGCAGCTTCCCAAAAAAGCGAGCCAGGATCGTCACCAGCGCCGGGTGTCCCTGTAGCAAGGGGTTCAGAAAGAGAGCCACAAAACTCTACTTGGATCAACCTTGTGAGGGAGGCTAAGCTTCTTATTGCACCTGGGGCAGCACAAACTCCTTAGCACTTAGCAACGAATAGGAGCAGGAAGTAGTTAGCAAGGGAACCAACACAACCCCTCACCCCACAAGTGAGCCACTCTGCTCCCCTTCCCTCCAAAAAAGATGGCACCGACTCCCCATCTCTAGTCAGCCCAACCAAAACACTATCTGGCAGCAACATCTGCTCTAAGAGAAAGAGGCGGCTCTGTCACGCACAAAGACCCGGGTGTATTGATGCAGCATGATGTTCTCCCCACCGACAGCCTTCACAAACGCCTCCTTCGCAAAGTCTGGTGGCGGCAAGTCAGGAAACCCCTGGCCAAGGTTCACAGCTGGGTAAGTGGCAGCCAGTTTCACAAATTCCACCCTACAGAGATAATACCAAGATTTAGAGAGAGTCCAAGCCAGTGTTCCCTTGAATTTTTTCCACCCATGAGTGGAATGAATATTCTTACATGCACCAGTGTGGAGGGGACGTGTGACATGGAGGTGATCCGTGACAAATCACGTTCATATTGGTCCACATAACAAAATTCATGAGGAGGAATGTGGGAGGGGGCTCGGGGCTGAGGGTTGGGGTGCAGGAATGTAAGGGCTTCAGCTGGGGGTGCAGGCTTTGAGTGGGGTTGGGGATGAGGGGTTTAGGGTCATAGAAACATAGAATCCTAGGGCTGGAAGATGTCATCGAATCCAGCCCCCTGCCCAGAGCAGGACCAACCCCAACTAAATCACCCCAGCCAGGGCTTTGTCAAGAGGATGCAAGAGGGGGCTCCAGGTTTGGGGAGAGCTTCAGGGCTGGGGGTTGGGATGCAGGAAGGGGTACAGGCTCTGGGCTGGGGTGTGGGCTATGAGGTGTAGGAGGATACTCAGGGCTGGGGGAGCTCAAAGTGGAGCAGTGAGTTGGGGCTTGGGCTTACCCGGGCAGCTCCCTGCTGGGGCAAGTGGAGAGGGGAACTTCCCCACCGTCCACAATGGTTTTGGGGCTTGGTATCTCTCTCTGCTGCAGTCCTGAGCATGCGGGGCTTAAAGGGAGGCTGCCCAGCCACACAACTGCAAAGCTTGGTGGGAACTTAGATCCCAGCTGGCAGCACACCCCGCTTCTTGCCAGGAGCCCTTTGTCTGACAAATCAACAGAACATCTCTGCTAGCCAAAGGAGCCAGACAGGGCAGCAGTTCCAGTTCCCAAGATTGCACAGGGCCCATCTTAGAAGGAGACCCCAGAGGGGCAGCAGCCCCCTATCACCACAACAGAAACCTTAGGGGCCTCTTCCAACACATCTGTAAAGCTCACCCTGCAGCTTGGGAGAGTTACAGAACCGCACCTGAAACCATACCTACATGTAGATGTAGAGCCACCCCTACATCTAAGGCGCCATTGATTTTTCCTGCTCTTAAATTAGCCTTCTATTTAACCCCTTATTTTGTGCCCTCTTCCAGGATGATCACAGCTATGGAAACTTGCTGAAAAACTTTTTGAATATTGAAATATACTTTAGCCACTGAGTCTCCATTACCAAAGCACACAAGCTCTGCCAGATACTCCAACGGGTTAGTATCACCTCCCTTGCCTGAGTCTACACTGCTGTGTCTAAACTACATCCCTTTCTTGAAAAAGGGATGTAAATTAGATACTCCAAAATTACAAATGAAGCTGGGATTTAAATTTCCTGTGCTTCATTTGCATAATGGTGGCCGCGTTTTTTTCCAAAAGGGGCTTTTTGAAAGAAAAACGGCTGTTTAGACAGGGATCATTTGAAAATAAAGACTGGTTTTATTTTCAAAAAATCCCCATCTAAGCAGCCATTTTTCTTTCGAAAAGCCCCTTTTCGAAAAAAACGTGGCCGCCATTATGCAAATGAAGTGTGGGAAATTTAAATCCCGGCTTTATTTACAATTTTGAAGTGTCTAATTTACATCCCTTTTTCGAGAAAAGAGATATAATCTAGATATACCCCATATTTCTTATGTCAGACTTCTAGGCTCTGCTCCATTCAGAGTTGCCCACTCCTACATCATGTAGACTTACCAGACATTCTTGTCCAATCCTTCCAGCCTTCGAGCCTGAATAGGCCTTGACATTTTTGTCTTCAGAGGAGAGGAGAAAAAAAAAGTGTTAAAAGCTTCTACTAATGCCAAGATGGATCCATACCCAAAGAGGCTGATGCCTCCCTCAGAGCAGCCAATAACTTAGCATTTTGCCCAACTGATCACAAATTGTGTGGTTTTAATCCAGGTTTTCCTAATCATTCCCTGGACAGTTGAAAGAAAACTGTAATGATGACAGCTTGCCTGGTGCAGTGCCTTCTCTCAGGCTAAAGGCATCTTAGAGGAAGCAAGATCAGAAAGTCTGAAATTGGCAGAAAATTCACTTTGATTTTAAAGTTTCAGAAGAGTTTAGAAAGCCATGAAAATACAAAAAAGGGTGTAAATTCTGATCAGAAGTTTAACAAGACAGAAGAAATCTGAGTCTAGGTATATTGGGCAATATCCTCAGCTAATATAAATCAGCAGGTAAAATGAAAGGAGCTACAGCAAAATACACTAGCTACAAATCTGGCCCATCATTTATAGGCTGCAGTGTTTTACCTTCAGCTGTCCTTCCCCTCAGAATGTAGGGAAGATCCTCTAGAAGGAACCTCCAGTTCCTTCAGGCAGTACTTCTCAGCCAGGAATGCTTGTACTCTTAGAGATACTCAGAAGTCTTCCAGGGGATAGATCAACTTATCTACGTTTGCCTAATTTAACAACGGGCTACATAAAAAGCACCAGCAATGTCAGGAACACACTGACATTTTATAAACAATATCTTGTTTATAACACTCGGTATACTGTGCCTTGAAATGTAAGTACAATATTTATATTCCAATTGATTTATTTTATAACTATAAGGTAAAAATTAGATAGTAAGCGATTATTCAGTAACAGTGTACCGTGACACCCTATGTATTTTTATGTCTGATATTGTAAGCAAGTACAGTAATTACTCATTTAACATGTGCCCACTTAACACATTTTCACGATAGCACAATTTTTTTTTAGGGAATGTTTTTTTGAATAACATGACCGTCCCCGAAATAACATGGAAGTGCTCCGGTCAGCCGCTCTCTCAGCTGGGCTCCTGTGAGCCACATATGCGCTCGTGGCTCCAGCCTGCACTTGCTAGCAGCCGGCTGCTGAGCACAGGCAGCTGCCTTGGGACCGGGACATAAGGTTGGGGGAGAAAGGGGACTGGGTTACAGCAGGGGGGGAGGTGTTTGGTTCTGGAGAAGGAAAGGGCAGGAGAGGGGAGGGGGATTGAGTTGGGAGTATGCCCCTGTGACAGGTCTGCCGGGACCCGCACTGCGTCTGGCGAGGAGGGGTCGGTGGGGAATGGCGTGGTGAGCGGTGAACCCTCCGCCGCTTTGCAGGGAAAGCCCCATCCAGGTGCCTCATCCTCTCTCCTCCGCCCCTGCTTGCAGGCCCGTGCCATTCCCCATCAACCCCCCCTCGCTGGACACAGTGCGGGTCCCGGCAGACCCGTCACAGGGGCAGACTGTACTCCCAACCCAATCCCCCTCCCATCTCCTCCCCTTCCCTTCCCCAGAGCCAAACACCTCTCCTCCCTGCTGTAACCCAGTCCCCTTTCTCTCCTAACTGTATGTCCCGGTCCCAAGGCAGCTGCCGGTGCTCAGCAGCCGGCTGCTAGCAAGTGCAGGTTGGAGACGACTCAGCACCAACAGAAACTGACTTTGACACCACCGCTTGAAATGCAACCCCCACCTTTTCCATTATTTTCAATGAGAAAATTGACCCCGCGTAACACGTTTCCGCTTAGCATGATCATTTTCTGAAATGTATCTACCGTGTTAAATGAGGAATTACTGTAGATTTTAAATGAGGAGAAACAAATTAGACTCATGGAAAGGTTACAGTAGACTGAAAAGGTTGGGAGCCACTGGCCTAAGGAATACTGGACTATTTCTTCCTATACAAACAACATCTGTTTTTATTCCTCATTACCCATATCCTCAACAAGCATCCCGATGGTACCAAGCACTGTACAAACACAGAAGAAACAGATGGTCCTTGCCTCACAGAGCTTACAGACTGGAACAACAACTGGATGTAGACAGACACATGGGGGAGCACAAAGAAACAATGGTACCAACAAACCATTTGCCTACCCATGTCAAAAATTTTGTAGTCCATGACAAAAGAGAATTGCAAGGAGGGTTTTGAAGGAGGATGAGGTAGCTTTGTAGATGTTTATGGGGAGCTCTTCCCACGCATGAGGGGCAGCACAGAGATGCTTTTTTGAGAATTTAACAAATGGGCAATACGTGGTTGAAAACACTGGCTGGTTGGAGGTGAGAGTTGACTTTTTGACAGTGTATGAGAGATAATAGGTAGCATGGGGGTATTCCATGAAGGGTCTTGAAAGTAAAGACAAGTATCTTAAGTTTGATGCAATGGAAAAAGGAGAATGAATGGTGCAGAGAGAAGGTAACATGGTCAAAGCAAAGAGCTAAGAAAATGATATTTGTAGCAGCATTTTGAATGGATATGAACATTGCAAGAGAATTATAGCTATTTAGGGCTGGAAGACACCTCAAGAGGGCCTCAATCCAGCCCTAGCAGGTGTTGCAGTAACTGAGGCACAAAACAAAGAGAACTTGGATGAGTTTTAGCTGCTCGGCTAGGTAGGAGACACCATACTTTTGAGTTATTAAGTGATTCATTTGTGGCTGGAAAGCCAGGGAAATTTTGTTCTCTGATCTCATTTCCCCAGGTTCTCTGTTCCCTGCCTCTGAATGCTTGATAGCTTCCCAGTCAGAGAATTTCCACTCACCTCCTTCTCTCTGTTAGGGTTCCCAGATGGTTTCAAAAAAATACCAAACCCCAAAAAAATGCCAGGAAAAAAATGCCTTCTGTTGGGTGCCCACAAGCACTGGCCTTGGGAAAAATGTCCAATATTTTCTGAATTTTTTTACCGGTCAGAAGGCACAAACACCAGGCAACCCTACTCTCTGTAGTTTCCGAAGGGCTGCATTATTATTTGATAAGTGTCCCAATGCACTGTTATCTCAAGCCAGGATCTCACAACCTTTATGCAGCTTCTGTTCTCATGAAGAATTTTACAAGTAAATCATTGGACAGTACGGTCATCATCATTGGACTGTACGGTCGCCCTGCCCTATATCCACCCCTGATCATGCGTGATACCTTATGACAGTGGTGGGCAATAATTTCTGCAGAGGGGGTTATGCCAAGAATTTGGGTAAGTGGACACGAGCTGCATTTTTCTATTATATTAATGGAAGGATTCTAGGGTTTGGGATGCAGTTTGGGTGTAGCAGGGAGTTCTGGCCTGCGGCAGAGGGCTGGGGTGCAGAATGGGGTGCAAGGTGCCAGCTCTGGCCCTGGCCGAGAGCTCTTACCATAGGCAGCTCTCAGCCAGCAGAGCAGCAAGCCACTCAGGCAGGCAGGTAGGTTGCATGCATGCCATGGTGGTCACTCAAAGCAGACAGCTGCTGCTGGCAAATGTCTCTGTACGTCTCTTGGGAAGAGGGGGTACAGCAGGTCTCCATGCATTGCACATGCCTGCAACCACTGCCCCTGCAGCTTCTACTGTCCATTTTCCGGCCAATGAGAGCTGTGAGGCTAGTGCTGGAGGTGGGGACTGCACATGAAGACGAGGTGCCACCCCAAAGGGCATGCACAAACACACTTGCTAGCAGCAGCTGGCCTCTTCCGACAGCAGTGTGGCTGGGGCCATTGCAGGCAGTCAGCCTGCCTTCCTGCCTGAGTGCCCCGCTGCACCACAGGTCTTTTAGTGGCCTGGAGGGTCATGTGGGGACCGGAGGGAAAAGTTTGGCAGGCCAAATCTAGCCCACAGGCCATATTTTGCCCACCCCTGCCTTATGACGAACTCTGAGCCCTTCTATAGCTGCTAGCATAGAGCTCTGGGTACAGCCCATCAACATGGGGATGGAAGACCGAGGAGGCAATTGCCCCAGGGCCTGGTGATTAGAAAGAGCATGGGGCTCACAGCTGCTGCTACTGTGGCACTGGCAGCTGGAGCCACGGGCCTTTTAAATCACCAGTGTGCTCTGGCCAGCGCTAAGGCTGCCTGGGGGAACCTAGCCCCAGCACTGCCCTTTGCCGTAGAACTCGCCTCTCTGGGAGCACAATGCCCATGGTCCCCATCCTTCCCTGCCCTGCCCAGGGACCTGGCAAGGAAGATGAGGTGGCTTTGTAATGTTTATGGGGAGCTCTTCCCATGCGTGAGGAGCAGCACAGAGATGCCTGGTTGAGAATTTAACAAGCGGGCAATGGCAGCTGGGATGACGGGCTGTTTGGAGGTGGAAGTTGAGTTTTCAATAGCATAGGAAAGATGAAAAGTAAGATGGGGTAGTACAGGCAGGGTCTTGAAAGCAAAGGCAAGTACCTTAAGTTTGGTGCAATGGAGAAAGGGGAGCCTGTGGAGGGTTGCTTGATAGCTTCCCAGCCAAAGAATAAATTTGCACTCACCTCCTCTCCGTAGAGTCCTATGGGCTGCATTGTTATTTGATACGTGTCTCAATGCACTGTTATCTCATGCCAGGGTCTCGTGAACTTTATGCAAGTGAGGAGGAATTTTACAAGTAAATCATTGGTCAGCATGCTCTGGCAGGAGTGCTGGGCTTGGGATCTGTCATGCATGATGCCTTCTGATGAACTCTGAGCTCTTTTACATCTGCTAATGGACAGTGCTCTGGGTACTACAGACTCACCAGCTACCTGCACCCCTTTGTACGATTAATGGCCCAGGAGAAGACCAATGAAAGCCTTAGAACCTCTCCTGTGCACTTGCTTTTAGCTCTCGCAGGACAAGCTCATGAAGGTGAGAGTTGGTGAAACACGAAGCCTGTGGCTGCTTCTAGTGGGAATAAAGGAGAAGGGGCTAATAGAGGACATTGAGAACCCTGCAAGTAAATTTAAGGTTAAACATTAACACGGCTAGTGTTCTGTCCCATTTCACTCCTTTGTAAGATAAAAGTTCTTGGTGGCAGTGTAGGTGTGTGACTTTGGATCCAGAACATGCTGATTCATCAGCGAGGAAAAGTGACCAGCAATTAGTAGCAATGCATTGCCTTGAAGTAAGAACTCCAAGTCTCAGAAGTCCCCTTCAAACCCCCTGAGCTTTTGAAGAAATACAAGAAGCTCTCCTAACTCTTTACTCTATTAGCTCCCCACCTGTCATGGGAAGAGGGCTGCTCCAGCCCCACAGGGGGCCCATGGTGGACAGGGGCTGTTTGGCCAACCGAAGCAGCCCTGGACTGCAACAAGCCTGGGCTCACCACAGACAGGGCTGCCCTGGAGCAGTCCCTGCTTGCAGTGGGTGAGATGGGGGCCACTCTAGCCCAGCCACAACAGGGAGGCAGCTCCAGCCCACTAGGGCTACAGTTGCCCTCTGGCCTGCCTCCTTTTCATCAGTTAACTGTTTAAACATCACGTTTAACTGGTTAACCAATTAAATGGGATTTTATATCTCTACTCTGGATAGCTGTAAGTGACAAAACAAAGAGCAAGGCCTACAGAGCAGAAACCTCTTCAGCACAGCCACCACTAGGCTGAAGGACTTGCCTGGAACTTCACTATGACTCGCCACCCTCGCTAGTTAATCAGTTAAATGTTAGGCTTGCTTAGCATTTAACCAACTAAGCAGAATCCTGGGCTGAGGACTGTTCCAGCCCAGCTGGAGCAGCCCCCAAGCCATGTGGCTTCCGCCCGCAGCCCCATGCTGGGACTGCAGCTGCCACTGGCTCTCTGCTGCTAGCCCCTACTGGAGGAGCCCCTGTTCTCCGTGGACCTGGGCTCCCTGCAGACAGAGGCTGCTCTGAACAAATTGCAGGCCCTTGTGGGGTTGCTCCAGCCCCCCTTCCCTTCTGTTAACCAGATCTGGTAAATATTACCCATTTAGGGTGATGCTTTCTGATTAACTGGGTAACCAGTTAACCTTTCACATCCCTAGCCACCACTTTGGGAGGCAGTATGGATAGAGAACTGCCCAGCTCATCTGTTGGCCTCTGAAATGAACGCATTTGGAGGGAATGAGAATGGGCCTGGGAATGAGGATCAGGAGATTTGGATTGTATTCCTGACCTTGCCACAGATCATTGTGAGATCTTAGGCAAAGGAACTTCACTGTTCTGTGCCTCAGTATTCCTGGGTAACACCCTTTCAGGGGTGCTGATATCTGTAAAGTTTTTGGGGTTCTTTTAATGGTGAAAAGAAGGGCTAAGTATTATCATCTCTGCAAGAAGGGGCTAACCAGCTTTGGAGATGCAGAAACATCAAGGATTCATTCCACATTAGAAGCACTGCCCTTGTGCTCATTAGATCTGTGATATTCAGACCTCAATGGCTCCAGAACCAAATTAAAGACCAATATTACACAAAAATAGTCTCAGCTATAAGTTAATAACTTAGAGCAAGTCGATAACTTCATTGGTTAATAAATAGCAAAAGCATTCTGACTGATCAATAACTTAGAATTATTAGTAATTAAATCACACAGGGTCATGTGCTGCAAAGAGACACATAAGAGAGCCACGTGTGGGTCATAAGCCTCAATCTGAGTATCACCACATTAGATGTTTCCATTAAAAGAGACACAAAATTAGCTGGGTAGGGAAGAGTTTGCATTGGCCATTACTGTGTCATCATGTCTGCCACTGCTGTTGATGCCAGTTTACTGGGGGACTAAGCTTTCTGCTACAGGCTTGACTGGGGTGTAGATCTGTTAAAGGCATCAATTACGCATTGGACCCGGAGAAATGCAGGGCCAAGTGCTCAATACCTTGTTGAGATACCAGCTAAATCCAGCACGGTTCTTCCTTCTCAGAAAGTACTGACCCAGAGACAGTCCAGATCTCCTGAGCATGCCACTGCAGCCACTGGCCCCAGTCCTAGAGAGATAAACCTGCATTTCCCAAAAAAAAACAGAAAACAAAGGGATGAGATTACCACTGCCATCATTACAGATATAAAGCAAGGACTCCATTTAACTGCGGAAACTTGCACAGGCCTCTCATTCTAGGCTAGAGCTTTAGATATTCTACACTGAGATAAAATCTCTTGTTTGTGCTCTGGCTGACAGGATGGAAGGGGAGGGCATGTGTGTTTTTTTATGGGAGTATGTTGTTTGGAGGCTAGAAGCAACTGGAGAGAAATTAGATGCTTAGTGCTTCTTCACTTCACAGTTTAATGACAAACACAAGACTTCATTTTGTGATCCTGGCTTTGCATGTGTTTTAACACTAGAGTAAAACCCAGCGACCAACCGATGAGCTCTCTCCTCCCAACAATTCTAAGCTCTTACCAGTCCCTGATGCTTCTTTCTCTTCTTAAACCCAACCTTACCTCTTCTTTTCTACTAGTTAAGGACAAACCATGGCTGGACCCCTACCATTTCTGAGAAACCTTCATTGCCCCAGAAGCCACAGCTTTTAGCTGTTCAATTCCAAGCCTATTCTATTTAACAGGAAATCTGCTTCCTGCTCTAGTGGTTTCAATTAGGGATATTAAATTTAGATTAATTAACTAATTGAATAGTCAATTGGGTTTCCATCGACTATTTGATTAGTTTATAAGGGCACCTCCGCCTTTGAAATGCCAGGCTCTTGCTATAGTTCAAATGCGGAAGCCCTGCAGGAAGCGCAGGGCACTCAGCCTTTGAAATGTACAAGATACCCAGTGGGGCTCTTGTACATTTCAAACGGAAACTGTGCAGTGGAGTCCTCACTGGCTCCACCCTCCCTCTGGGGTTTTCTGCTTTTGAAATGTGCAAGAGCCCTAGCAGGGATTATACATTTCAAAAGCAGAATCACAGCAAAAGCGGCGCAAGCGAAGACTGCTTCAGTCCCCGCTTGCACTGTTTCCCACTGTGCCTCTACCGCCCCTGCCCCCCGGGGAGACGGTGCTGGGAGGAACCGGCTTTTAAGCCAGCTTCCCTCAGCATCAGCTCCTGCTTCCCCCCCTTACTGCCTCTCTCTGATAGAGACAGCAAGGGGAGGGGGGAAAGTGACTAGTCACTTACATCCCTAGTTTCAATATTTAGATTCAACACAAAACCACAAAGAAAATAATTTACATTTCTGAGGTCAGGTCTCTTCTGTTCTACAGCATAGTCTTAAGCGTTTGATACTTACTAACAGAACTAATATTACCTTGACCGGCTTACTGGCTTGGCAAATTAATTTAAGCCCAGACCAAAGAAACTGGTTTCCTCCTGTTCAGAAAATATAAGTTCCTTTATACTGATAAACTGCAGATTAATTCACAAAGCTCTTCAACCATAAACTAAGCCAGGAATTTGAAACAGACCACTGAGAAATTAATTTAAAATTACAGAGAGAAACATTTTCTACGCTAAATATAGGCCAGGGATCTCTATTACTTTCCACCCTGTGTTTTTATTGACACAACTTCAAGGTGGGTATAAATTGCCATCAAATAAGAACAGCAGCATTGAATACTTTGCAAAAGAGATTCAGGCCCACAATGTTACATAGCATTGCTGGGGACTTGTGAAATAGCAGCTTTATCCCCTTGAAGAGAATGTTTGAAATTCAGGGTGTGTAAGTGTGAAAGAAGAGACAGGATTTATATAAGTATTAGGCATTATTATGAAATTGCTACAGCCTCAGCTGACATATGCTGGTTTGGTGTCATGGCAGTAAATGGAGCTACATAATTTATGCCACTTGAGAATCTGGCCCAAAATGTATCTACTGGTCTTCGCACTACCCATTCCCATGAAAGATGGAATGCAAAAAGTTAAAGATATCCCTGAGGACCCATTTATTTCAAGTTAATAGGGAAAGGGTAGGGAAAATTCAGAAGACTAGGCTACAGTAGTGTCTCCACATTATTGTCATATAATTCTGAGGATCTCCAGTAACCTTCTCCATGCTCAGACTGTGAGAAAGGAGGACAGGAAAAGGCTAATTAGGTGAGTAAAGACCAGGGGATTCTTTAGGCAATACTAATTATGTATTTCTGCAAGTGTCCTTCTCAGGCTCTGGGGTGCTGTAACGTAACCCCTCTGTGTGCAGCGCTCTAGTTCATATTTACAATGCTCCACTGCCTGCTGCATTTAATAGGCATATTTTCAACCAGAGAGTCAGGCTCAGCTCCTAAAGGAGAATGAAGCAGGCAGGTGACTCCTCTAACACAGTAGGGCAGTGCAAATTTGCGCGGTGGAGTTGCACATACTGGGGTTATGTTAGAGCAGCTCAGAGCCTGAAAAGTCCCCTTGCAGAAATACGTCATTACTATTTCCTATTGCTCCTACTAGTAAATATAGTCTCCTTTGTTCTTCTGTTTCTTGTGTCCTTCTTTGCACCAGTGAATCAGCAAAAAGGAAAAAATAGCATGCCTGCTCTAAAAATAGCCCAGCGTGAGGGACTCAGGCCTGATCGCCTGTTCCCTGAGGAGCAGCAGCAGGGTAAATGTTTGCTCTATGACTTGACTGCTTGATG